TCCAAACCCTCGGCGGGAGCACCGCCGCACTCCCAAGCGGCACACTGTAGCAGTGCGCCACCGGGCCGGCGCGTGTTTGTGATTTTAATGGACATAGATTTGGCCAAGATCTCTAATGGGTATAGATGAAGGTCACAGTTACCGGGTTTGATTAAACTTTACAGGCTCTCCATAATGACTGTGGTCATGCCTTAGGGCAACCAAAATCATTTTTGTATTTTATCTCCTCTATTCCTCCTATAAGAGAAATGGTATAATTCTTCTTTCTTGGAAAAGCTCATACAATTCTTTTTCAAAGACTTGGATTTGCCACTTTGGGGAGAGAATGGTTATTTAATGGTTTCTCCAATATAGGAGGCAGAATTCTGTAACTTAGTCTTATTACTTACCCCATTGGTTTTAGGTTTCTCATCTGTAAAGTGGAAATATTAACACCTCTTCTTCTTACGAAATCTTATACCTATTGTGAAACACTCAGTATTCTTATTTCTCTACTTCACATCCCTTGCTTGACTTGCTAACCTTTACTTGATATTGGAGTTTGAACATTTCTACACTTCCTAGATTAATTATTCTATCTATAAACTCAAATAAACCAGAGCTTGGAAAAGTATATCAGAGATCAAATTATGCATACATGATTGGTGAGTGCCTGGGGCAAGAATTCAATCATATTGCATTGGTCCTTGCAACACTGTCCTGTCCATCCATGATTCCCAGGTCTCTAGAGCTGTAGTGTCCAACTCAGCAGCCACTAAACACTTGGGGCCATTGAGGGCATGAAATGTGTCTAGTTTGAAACACGATGTGCTGCAAGTGTAAAATATGCCCTGGATTATAAGTATTAGCATAAAAATGTAAAATATCTCATTTTTTATTTATTACATGTCGAAATGGTAATATTTTGGATATATAACATTAAATAAAATGCATTAGTAATAAGTATTAGCATAAAAATGTAAAATATCTCATTTTTAATTTATTACATGTCGAAATGGTAATATTTTGGATATATAACATTAAATAAAATGCATTAGTAGAGTAAAGGTTACCTGTTTCTTTTTACTTTTATTTACTATGGCTACTAGCAGATTTAAAATTATGTATGTGGCTTACATTTGTGGCTTACAAATGTTTCTATTGGACAGTGCTGTTGTGGAGAAACAAGTGATCTTTTGTGGCTGTCCCTTCATTTTACTTGAGTTGGTTGTTTTCATGTTTGAAAATATTTTGAAGCTCTCCGCATTGGCTGACATTATTTTCAGTTTCCTAGGTAGCTAAATTAACATAACCCACCAGAGGGCTCCAGAGCTATACTAACATTTTTTTTTTTTTTTGTAAACACTGGAAGTGTACAGAATATAAATTGTATTGAGGGAGTAGCGTTTTTAAAAATATGCATTTCTATTACAATAATACAGTGTTTGGACATCGTGACTGACTATTGACTTGAATGACTGCTGTGCATAGAATCCTGGGCTTAAACAAAGGTGTTTCAGACAGTCTCTGCCTTTAAGAGAAAATGAGACCAATTCATTAAAAGAATAACAAAGAAAGGTACCATATATTGAACATGTGCTGAGGTAGCCATTTGAGAACATTTAATAGCAAGCTTAAATATATAAATTGACTTTCATTTGGTAACATGGTACCTCTCTAAGCAAGGTATGTTGCCAAATTGTTGTTTGAAATAATATCTGTAAGATAATAATAACAAGCTACTGTATGTCAAGTATAACTTCAATTTTCATACTCAATATACCTACCATGTGCCAGGCCCTGTACCAGATTCAAGGACATATAGGGATGGACACCACCTTGTGTCTTTGCTTTCAAACATCTTTCATGTCACTTTCCCCAGCTCATTACTATTATATTTTTGTAATGTATAATCAAGATTATGAAATTTGGTCTTAACTCTTAGTAGCAACTATAAGGTTGTTGAATACTGGCTTAACTAAATAATAATTGTGTGGTGTTTTTAATTTACAAGCACATTTTCTCTACTCTTTTCTAATTTGGAAGAACACAGTGAGAATAGGTAGTTTAAAATTAATATTAGTATTAATTTATACATATATGGATAGTTTGGTTCATGTAATATGACTTGCCCAAGACCACACAACCTGTGGCAAATTCAGGTTTTACCCAAAAGACGTCTGAATCTAAATTCCTCTCCTAGCCACAGTATCACATGTCATTGTGGGGAGCAAGTCAATGGCAGTGGGTCAGTGCAGAGGTGCAGGTGGTGGCTCAAGCTGCTATGATTCTGGATGCTCCTTAGTGGTCCCCTGTCACTGACCCGTTCTACTCCCTGCTTGCATGCTCATCTTTCTTCTGCCTGCCTTATTTGTATTGCTTTTCCTCTCAAAAATGACTGGCTCGATCATGTCCATAGAATAAAGGTAAACTGAAATCTTTTCGGGCATGTATTATGTATCAAATCTTTCAGGCCTCTGGCATTGAAACAGTGTATAATAAATGTTTAGTATAGGTTTGCTGATGATAAGATGTAGACAAAGTCAGTCTATTGTATCTTAGTGTGGTCTTGTTGTGGGTACAATTTTTTTAAAAAGGGATTTCCCATTTGACTTTATTTTCAAATAGAAAAGATGGTTCTTTTACTTTTTTGATTTAGAAACAAACAAAATATGGGCTGGCCGGTTAGCTCATTCGGTTAGAGCATGGCGTCGATAACAGCATACCTGTCAGCTGCCAAAATAAAAAAATAAAAAATAAAAACAAAATAGAATATGTCTAGTCTATCTTTTGTGAATATATACACCCCTCAAGTGAAAAATAAATGTTACCTTTATTTTCCTAATAACTATGAACTGTTTCATATATGGAATGATAGAAAATATGGTTTAGTCTATCTTTTGTGAATATATACACCCCTCAAGTGAAAAATAAATATTACCTTTATTTTCCTAATAACTATGAACTGTTTCATATATGGAATGATAGAAAATATGGTTACCATTTTAAACAAATCTTCTCTTTTCCATGTTTTCCAAACCCTCTTTTTTTCTAGAAAGTGATGTGCCTACTAACTGTCCTAGTCACTGGTGGCCATATGCAGGTCACTGTTATAAGATTCACAGAGAGGAGAAGAAAATCCAGAGAGATGCTTTGACTGCTTGTAGGAAAGAAGGTGGCGATCTAGCAAGTATGCACAGCATCGAAGAATTTGACTTTATCATCTCCCAGCTAGGATATGGTGAGAAGCCTTACATTGGTAATATGCCTGAGTTTAGTCCTCTCCTATCTCTGGAACGTTTAATCAAAAATGTTAAATTTAATAAAGTTAAATTAATAAGAATGTAATAAATTTAATAACAGATGCTAAACATGCCTGCAATGTGAAAATTGTATGGTAATTTAAGGAATTCCTTTTTAAAAATTTTAATTGACACATTGAAAATATATATGCTTATGGGGTACAATCTGATGTTTTGATACATATATATGTTGTAAATAATTGGGTTAAAGAGTTTTTATCATTTAAAGATTATTCCATTTATTTTTCTTTTGATATATAATCAATTTATGACTAGTTTTTAAATATTATTTTTTCATTTATAATCATGACTATAAGCGGTCTACCTTAAACTTGTCAACGATGTTTAATGTTTTGGAATCATTTGTGTGTGTGCATGTATTTTCTCTTTTAAGGCCTATGTTTTATCTCACAAGAAAGGTCGCTAAATGAACCATCTCACATTTTGGATTTTCTTTTCTTTATTAGTCTGATGCTGTTAGGGTGTTGAACAGTGAAAAAAATGGCAGTGGATAGGCGTTGGTCTAAACCTTTTGAAGAAATTTATGTCTTAATTTTAGGTATATAACTTTTAAAATACATAGAAAATGTACTAACCAGAAAAAAAAAAAAGGGTAAAATGCATTGGGCATGCTTGTTCTGAAGAGGAGAGGGTTGAGAAACATTGTGATGATAATGGGCACTCTGCCGGGCTTGCTGATTAAATGATTATCATTTTCATCTTCCCCTGATGAGGCTGCTTGAATGGATGCAGCTGTTCTTCATTTCCACCCAGCAAAACAAGAGGAAATGGCTGGTGGTGATGGTGGAGACGGCTTCCTAACAGGCAGTGCCTGGAAATTGATGGGGATGGGGGGCAGGCGAAAGCAATGGACAAATACTCGTAGCTGAGAAAAAATACAGCAGTAGCAGAGAAAGATTTAAAAGTTCCCAAAACACTACTTCTAGCACCTTTTCCCTGTGGAATCTGTCCTCCTCTGTTTCCTTCACTGAGTGTAGCAGGCCATGCAAATAGCTTGCTGGAGTCTATAAACAATTTCTTGATGATTCTGTGCTTACCCAGACTGGAAAATTCATGCTAAATATAATAAGGTAATCAAAACTGGTAGATCTCAATAACAGTTCCTTATGTTTATCATGAGACCTATATTAGTTAGTCAAGTTTGCAAGTGAATCAGTAGAAAACAGGTTAGTTAAGATGCTGTCAGACTCAGCACAAATTTTGCTCTACTTCCTATATAACATGATATAAAAATAGGAGAACTTTATATTTTTATTGCTATAATTCTTTTGGGAAGTTGGATGACAAAAGTTGCTTTTAAATTCAGCTTGAGAATTAGCAAATGAATTAGAAAACCTTCCATTAAAATATTGATAAGGATTTATTTACTTGTATTGAAAACAACAAATAATATTGATAAAGGTAAAAAAAAGTTATAAAATTAAAATTATTGCTTCTAAATGAAAAGCTTTGAAAAACCTTTTTTAGCTAGTTAAGATAATATATTTTATATTTATCATGGAAATATATTTCAAGTATCCACCTGACATTGGGATCTGTACATGTTATGTGCAGTATGTGCTATGCCAACTATAAGCGGTAACTGTAAAGTTATGACTATACCAACTAACACAGCTTCCTTAACTGATTTATAAAATATGTGCTATGCCAACTATAAACTTAGCGGTAACTGTAAAGTTATGACTATACCAACTAACACAGCTTCCTTAACTGATTTATAAAAATCAGTCTAATGATTGTACACTCAAATATTATATATTTTTGTACGACCAAGATTGTGCTTAGGAATTACAAAAGCTATAAGGGGAAAAAGGTTAGAAAAATATGTAGAGGAAACTCTTAATACTTTATTATAATTGTGGGACTTGAGACTTTAGTTTTTCTTTGGTCTTCAGTTGATATCCTCGGGGGTACGTGAGGTCACTTTGAAGCCTGTATTTGTTGCTCAAAAGATCAGGATCTTCCAAATCAAGTGAAAGGAAAAGGGGACCATCCTGGCAATGTCATTTATGCTTCATGGCACTGGAAACATCTGCTGCAGCTGGCACGAGGCCAGTCAGGGACTTCTCCAAATGCAAAGTTGAGTGACAGCTTTTAGGAGGAAGAAACTAAACCACTTAGGGAAATTTTCTATAGTGTGGTATTTTTCTCATTTTCTCTCATAACATTATCTTCACAATCTTTTGGAAAGTAATTTTATTTTACCATTAAAAGGTCATACGTCAAGCATTCATGATGGAATTCCTAGTTGTGCAAGTTAAATAGGTACTGAATTGTATATTCTTTAACTTTTTTGAATTTAGAAATGTTTGTTTTTCAGCCATGAAATCTTAGACCTTCAATCCCTTTGACTGTGTTCCATTTTTATTATGATATTTAGAGTTTTTTAGAATATCTAATTCTAGGGGCCGGCCCGGTGGCGCACTGGATAGTGCGCCGCTTGGGAAGCGCGGCGGCACTCCCGCCCGAGGGTTCGGATCCCACATACAGACCGGTTCCCGCTCACTGGCTGAGCGAGGCATGGGAGCAACACCGAGGGTTGCGATCCCGTTGCCGGTCCCCGGTCCGGTACGGGGGCGACACTGAGGGTTGCGATCCGTTGCCGGACATGGAAAAAAAAAAAAAAAAAAAAAAAAAAAAAAAAAAATA